CTAAGTGAATCGAGGTCTTGTGTATCTTGTTGCAGGTTTGCAAAGGTATTACTCGTCGATTTTGTTGATGACCACAGATACGTTTCCATCTTTCCACCAATCTTTAGGTTTAGTGTGTTTGAGTTCTTTCACCTTAGTATCATAATATAATTTAATTACGGCAGTTTTTCCTAGATCGATTTACTTTATTCGTTTACTGTTTATATAAAGCATGATTGATCTGTGCAAGAGCCTTTTGTTGTTTTTTTTTAATCAAACGTTTCAGGTTGCTGTTCATCCAAGATCGATCATTTTGGTGAACCTTCACAGTCTTCAGTGGCTTTGGGGTGTTGAGTCCATACTTTATAACGTCAGTAAAGTTATTCAGGTTTTGATCACAAGACTGGTTTGGATTAACCACTATGTCTCATGGAACTTCGCATAAAAATCTTCCTAGGCGACGGATGCTGCTAGGGTTCTTGTCTCGCACGTTAATAATAGTTTCTTTAGACTGGTTACCACGGATAATTTCTTTATAAAAGGCAACAACAGTAAGGTGGTTCGATGAACCAAGTGGAGGAGTACTTAAAGGCTCTTCGTAGAAGTTGGACAAATTTGTCAAAATTAAGTCTAATTTACTGGTTCTTCTAGTATTAAAATCTACAATCTGCCTGAGTTGAAATTGATGGGTGATATGTCTTATAGGTAGTTTATTAAAATCTCCTGCCAGGATTAAGCCGCAGTTAGTATATCTGGTTTCCAATAACTCTAATAATAATAATAATAATAATAATAATAATAATAATAATAATAATAATAATAATAATAATAATAATAATAATAATAATAATAATAATAATAATACTTTATTGATTTATATTGCGCAATTATCAATCTTGCTATTTTCAAATGCGCATTACAAAGTTTAAAAATATCAAATATCAAATATATAAAAAATAAACAACTATTGAAAAGCTTGACGAAATAAAAATGTTTTAATAGACTGTTTAATTTAAAAATATTTAAAGATGAGCAACTTCTAATATGATATGGCAAAGTATTCCACAGTGCAGGAGCTGCCATGCAAAATGCTCTATCGCCTAAAGTCTTTAGTGATTTCCCTGACGGAACGCTTAATAACACAGTGTTGCTTGATCGGAGCTATATCTTGTAGACCCCTTGAGGCTAATTAGGTTACTTATATAATCTGGAGCAATTTTGTTAATAGCCTTAAACGTTAGTAAGATAATTTTAAAGTCAATACGGTATTTGAGTGGGAGCCAGTGTAAGCTTCGCAACAATGGTGTAATTCGGCAAACTTTTGATTCTTGGAACACGAGACGTGCAGCGGCATTTTGCACCCTCTGTAGCTTGCTTAATTGGGAATTCGGCAATTCATACAATAAGCTATTGCAGTAATCCAAGCGACTTGATATAAATGCATGTATGAGTGTCTGGGTCGTTTGTTTAGTAAGGTACTTTCTAATGCGTCTTATATTATATAGAAAGTAAAATCCAGAAGAGCATGTCTTTGAAATGTGGGTGCTCATGGAGAGGTTAGAATCAAACCATACTCCTAGATTCTTAGCAACAGGTCCCAACCAGGTCAATGTCCATAGCACCAACCGTGATATGGCTGAGGTTGACCTTAGCGAGTTGCTGTCTTGTACCAATAAGGAGAAATTCAGTTTTATCAGCATTCATGATCAATTTGTCTTCAGACATCCACACCCTAATGTCTTCGATACAACGTTCCATGGCAATGACCGCATCTGACTCACCACGTTCTTCAGTTGGACTAAATGCAATATACAATTGCGTGTCATCTGCATAGCAATGTGATATTGGTAAGTGTTTCTCAATGACGTCAAATAGTTTGCTGGCATAAATTGTGAACAATAAAGGCCCCAGGCAAGAACCTTGAGGAACACCAGGAGGCACATCAAACTTCTCGGAAACTGTTCCGCGAATCGCTATGCGCTGAGATCTCTGGGATAAATAAGAGCGGAACCAACTAGAAGCACCTCCAGTAAAACAAAATTTAGATGACAAACGCCCAAGAAGAATATGATGATCAACCGTATCGAACGCCGCACTCATATCCTGTAGTACAAGGAGCGAGACATGTTGCTCATTCATGTTCATCAAAAGTTCATTCTTCACTTTCAGCAGAGCAGTGTCAGTACTATGATTCCTTCGATATGATGATTGCGCAGATGGATACAGATCGTTATTTACCATATAAATATGTGTCTGTTCGAATACAGCTCTTTCAGCGAGCTTGGATATAAATGGCAAGTTGCTCACGGGCCTAAAATTCATGAAGGTAGCTTCAAGACCAATTTTCTTCAAGAGTGGATGAACAAGTGCTTCTTTCCAGCTGAGCGGAAAGCAACCAGGTTGATGTGAGAGATTGATCATTCTTGTTATTACAGGTAGTAATGCATCAAATTAATACCTTAGCATCAGATTCAGAAAGGGGAGTGAACTCGGAGAACTGCGGGACATTTGATTCGGTCACAGGAGAAGCAATTTGCGAGTCATCTGGGACACTGGAGAACACATTATCTAATTGACTATGTATATTTGTGATCTTTTGTTCACAATATTTGCCCATGCCACTGACAAAAGACTTACAATCCAAATTAGGAGGAAGGCCATCATCGTCATGTTGACCAAATAAACACTTACATGTTTTAAACAGTTTTCTCTAGCTGGTCACCCTTGTTCTCTTCAACGATGTTCGTGTAATACTCCGTACGGGCTGTAGCAATTAATCGATTTACAACATTTCGTTTCATTTTAAAAATAGAAAAATCACTCTGCAACTTAGATAATCGCCACTTTCTCTCTGCTCTTCGTTTTTCTCGCTTTGCCTTCCTGAGTCGCTCATTAAACCAAGGTACCCGTGGCCGTTTTACTATGATCTTAGTTTTAGATGATGCATGTTTTTAACTCTAGAATACCAACTGTAATTATGATTGCAAGTGTTCTATCATATCTGTCTTATTTTGACCCACAACACTTCACATTCGTTTTCATTCGGTATATCGGGATAACATTCGCTACATAAGAGGTTATATATATATACGGTATATATATATATATATATATATATATATATATATATATATATATATATATATATATTAATTGAATAATTCTACAAAATATTTTGTTCTCTGGATTCTAATTTAAATGTTTTGAGCTTTCGACTCGGTACTTCGAGCCTTCATCAGAAAGTTGGAATGTTTGAATTTTCGCGCTGTTCTCGTTCTTGAAGCCTTTGGGAACGTTTGATTGGTTGATCAATCCAAATTAGGAGGAAGGCCATCATCGTCATGTTTACCAAATAAACACTTAAATGTTTTAAACAGTTTTCTCTGGTCACCCTTGTTCTCTTCAACGATGTTCGTGTAATACTCCGTACGGGCTGTAGCAATTAATCGATTTACAACATTTCGTTTCATTTTAAAAATAGAAAAATCACTCTGCAACTTAGATAATCACCACTTTCTCTCTGCTTTTCGTTTTTCTCGCTTTGCCTTCCTGAGTCGCTCATTAAACCAAGGTACCCGTGGTCGTTTTACTATGATCTTAGTTTTAGATGATGCATGTTTTTAACTCTAGAATACCAACTGTAATTATGATTGTAAGTGTTCTATCATATCTGTCTTATTTTGACCCACAACACTTCACATTCGTTTTCATTCGGTATATCGGGATAACATTCGCTACATAAGAGGTTATATATATATATATATATATATATATATATATATATATATATATATATATATATATATATATATATATATATATAT